ACTAGAAATGACACGAAATAGTAAAATTTGTAAGACTGTAGACCCAAAATCATAAAATAGTTTTATAAAGATTGCAAGGACTTCAAAAAGTCCAGATCTTAATGAATGAAAATATATTGCATTGCTTGTGGGAAGATGGTGAAGTGTATCAGTTAGATCCTTTGCTTAAGGTCCATTAATCCAATTAATTTTACATTCTCAATGACAACGGTCTCCCTAAACTATATGTGTAATTTGACAATGTGTGCTTTTGGAAATTGCCTCTCCGTTCAGATGTTATGGCTGCTTGCATAACAAGGCAGTGAAAAGGGAGCAAAGGTGAAGAGAGATAAAAAAGTAGAGTTTGATTGTAATAATTTTATTTAATGGGATTGTAATTATAGTATATGATTGCAGGCGTGATCGATTCATCTCACTGCTTTCTAGCTGTAAAGTGTAAAAGTTGATGGCTGTGTTTCGCATTTACCCCGATTACGGGTGTAGCTGCAAAATGGAAACAATCAGTGCTACATGAAAAAAAATGGAATCCCGAGATTCGAAAGTTGAAAATTCTGCTGTATCGGCCTGTTTGTTAAATGAAAACAAAATTAAAAAATCGATAGCTTATGTTCTTTTTTGAGAATTTTAATTTGTATACAAAATTAACAAACCGATATACATATATTAGGGTATATATGTATCTATATATATATATATACACATGTATATACATATATATGTAAATCTTTTTCTTCTTTCTCAGTACTAAAAGTTTGTATATATATATATATATATACACACACACATGTATATACATATATACGTAAATCTTTTTCTTCTTTCTCAGTACTAAAAGTTTGAAAATTATCCGACTCGTTCCTCTCCGGTTTCCTTCACTCCCTCGGCACGACAAGGTCTTCCTTTCGCTGATTCTTCTTCCTCAGCTTCAGGATCGGAAAAGAGCATGCCAAATTCTTCCATCTCCTGCCATTTTGGTTTGACCAATTTATGCTTCACAAACCTTTCAATGATGAGTGAAGTGTCGACCTCAATTTGATGAGAGAGACCCTCAACATGCCCTTCCCGTGTAATCATCAAGATTATTTTTTCTTTCAACCTCTTGTTCTCCATGAGAAGAGCTTCCACTTGAGCTTTGTGCCCGTGGGCCTCTAGCTTCCTCTTCTCCACAGACAGGTTCAATCTCATCTTGGCCACAATAGCTCTTCGTTTTAACTTTTGAGCCCGCATTTCAGATCTCTCAGCCTGCTTAGCCCTATCGAGGAGAAAATCCTGAAGATGTGAGGCTTCCCAAGCGAGTGCATGGTATCGATTGGTCGCTTGAAATATGTCCCTCCTATTCATCAACCTCAGCTCTTTCTCAAAAGTTGGGGGACCAAAACATCTCTACCAGGTTCAGCGTGTAATCCCCATTTAGGGGAGTACTGGGGAACCACTTCATCTCCCTATCGATGAGTGCATAGTGGTCGCTCGTCCATAATTCGGCTCCCCAATTATTGTTGAAAGACTACTCGGATGTACCTTCACCCTTTTTCAAGGGGTAGACCAGTATCTGAAGCTGGGGTTTTTTCTTCCCTTCAGAGGATGTCACTCCCCCCCTAAGACTGCCCTTATTTAAATAGAATGGGAGATGCGACTCGCCTCCCCCCATTCTTGTAAAACTATGAACGAGATACAACCAGGAGTCATCGCAGGAACCCTGCTGATCGATGGATGGACCAACGAAGAACCAAAATTGGGAACATTGGGGGCCCAGAGGTGGTCCTCCTCACTCTCTTTAGAAAAAGCCTAACAATGTTGCATATCATAAGCATTGTGCTAAAAAAATAATAATAAGCAAAAGGAAATATTTTAAGCATTTACTCACTTTCGACATCTCCTTCAGCCGATCCGACTGAGTCTAACTGACCTCTGCCCCTGTCAGACAGGGGAAGACTGCTTTATCCCATCAGTTTCTTCGAAGGTGCGTAATCCTCGACAACCTTCTCCCGAGCCGCTTACTAATTGTCATACGAGATTCACTGCCCTTCGATCATGGAATCAGTGTTGTCCGATCGAATCATTCGCTCGATCACCTTTAGGTCGAGATATTGGAATAAAGAGAGATGTTGACCCTCGATCAACGCCCTGTGATTTTGAAGATTCCCAGTTAGAGTCTTCACCTTGGAATCAGTGTTGTCCGATCGAATCATTCGCTCGACCACCTTTAGGTCGAGATATTGGAATAAAGAGAGACGTTGACCCTCGATCAACGCCCCGTGATTTTGAAGATTCCCAGTTAGAGTCTTCACCTCGCAGTCCATCGAAGAAGTATGGATCTCTCAACCACTTTCACAGGAGGCAACCAAAATCTTTGTCTTCCAATCCTTGATCTATTTTAAAGGCCTAAAAGGTACATCTTGGGGCCAGCAACGAATTGGATGTAACCATCCCAACCGATCTTGAATGAAAAGAAGTGGTTGAACTTGATCATCAGTGGAATCCTCAACCTTTGATAGAAGAAAACGATGGTCATGACAACATCGACCAAGTTTGGAAGAACCTGAGCGTGAACAATCCCATATCGATCGAAGATCAACTGCAACTCCCTACAGAACGACAACCGAAGGCCCATCTTGAACTGATCTTTATAAGAAAAACTAAGTCGGGTGTGAAGTTGTCTGTAGCTCGCTCTTGGCTAGCTGTCAGTCTAAGACAAATTGAGGGATCAAGAACATATAGATATTGGATCTCCTTCACTTCCATCGAAATCTAGCCGAGAGATTCTTGGGAAACTTTCACGCATTAAACTCAAAGCATCACACACTAGGAAAAAAGAAAGAAATGGTAGATCACAGAGAAAACTAAAAGAAAAAAATATGAAATGGTATTACGACAACATAATGATGTAAGAAGTCATACACAAGTTTTGAGGTAACATTAATCATAAAAATACTTTTTATTTATTTTCATTTCATTATTTACATTACATTAACCCTCAGAAACTACCCTGAGAGAAAGAACCACATCAGAAGATCATCTGCAGCTTCAACCAAGACAAACTCTTGGTGAAGCTCTCTCTTGTACACGAACTAGCCACCTAGTCTAAAGAGCTCGGTTGGATCATCCCTCGTCTTGGCGGGAAGGCCCCCTTTGGTGACCAACAACTCCAAACTGAGGCTTGTCATCTCCTCCCAAGCAACGAACATATCCCCTGGAAAAGTAGAGAATTCACGCGAAGGCGATGACCTCTTTCTCCATTTGATTGATCCTCATCAGAACCTCCATAGTGCTCGCAAAATGTTCCTCCAACTTGCAAGATAGTGCATTAGGGCTTCTAAGGATGTCTGTCGCCCCTTGATCACCTCCTCTTCCCTTGCCAAATTGGGGGTTCCTTGGCGATCTAAGCGTTCATCACGAGGCAAGTTCCCCTCGTTCGTCCCTTGATCCACATTAGCCTGTTCTACGATAGCCACATTTACCGCATGATCAACATTAGTATCCGATGAAAGTGAATCGATTGTCTGGATCTCTATGGTTGCACCACTTAAATAAATGCACGAACTCAAGGCTGACGGTTTAAACAACATACCTAAAAACCGGTCCCATTCAGACATGGTGAAAGAGTCAGCACCCTCACTGATTTTTCTCGACTCTCCATCCATAGAGGAAAGGCCATCCTTTGACAATCAGAACGATAGTTCTGCTTCAGTTGTCGCCTTGTCCATGTCAGTTTGAAAACTTATTTGCCACGCAATAGTCTGAACGGGCTTCTCTATCCCCCTAGCCAAAACGTCCATCATCAACGAATTCCATGTGGAACGATTGCGAGACTGACCTTGGTTAGTTCTAGAACTAGTTATTGCAATGAGCCTGCAAAAGAATTGAAGGACCTAATATGATCTTCATGATCGTTGGTTTAACCTCCGCAAAACCATCTTTTTGTTCGCTTTCCCCGCAGGAGCTTCACCCATAGATTTTCGTTTCACTTCCAACTTTCAAGCTTTTGGCTTTATACCATCGAAAGCTATAAGAAGCACGTCTTTCTCAGCAGATGAAGCTTTCTCACCAGGCTGAATTAGAAGAAGAGAAAGGGATCATAAGCGAAAAAGAGAAAAAGATCACACCAGCTCTCCCCTATTCTATGGCTTATTTATAGTGGCACGTGTGCTGAAATCCAGGGAAATCATTTATCTAGTAATTATGTCATTCAATTTTGTACTCTCTTTTTTTTTTAATTTTTTTATTAGTAAAGAAGATTCTCTTATTGTTATGCGTTGCACAATAATATACGACGACACGAATGTCAAAACAATCTGACAGCCAGAATAGAATATAATCAGTGAATGAGGAACGAAGAGTTAAGTAAAATGGCCTGGATCTTAGAAAGAACGTTGATAAAAAAGAAGCAGATGATCATTGGAGGATCGAACGATCAGTTATACATGGAATCATTCAATCAGTCAGCAAATCAAAGGACTGGAGATTATTCAAAGACAACTGAAACGGTCGAAGTGACCTGAGACAGCTGATTGAATATGAACATCTCCGTCGATCGATTAATGACACATAACCTGAATTCGATAGACCAATTAAGCTGGAAGATCGACAGACTCAATATCAGTCGGGCAACCTGATCTAATATCTTATTATATTTTTCCTATAATTTACTAAAATAATGATTAGGAGGCAAATCTATAGGTAGAGGTCATTTCATAATAAACAATTACATATTTCAAGTTTTTTTTTTGTCTAATAAGCTCTAAATTTTTGAAACAAAAGTTTCGAGGACACTTCTGATTCAACAATTTATATGTACTTTTGTTAGAATATGCTACACTGACAGGAAAAAGCATGAACGTGGCACGCGATGGTCTATCCAGCCTTCGTCAATTAAACTAACAGCATCTTCAGAGCACGCCTCTTAAAACAAAACATGGGAAACATTCATAATCCGATCGGCCAGCCACACTAAGAAATCAGAACCAAAAGGAAAAGCAGCGAGTTGCAAAAGTGAGCGCAAGCAAGCAGGCAAAGACGAAAAGCAGAAGAGACACCCGCGGCATACGCTGCAAATGGATAAAAGCACAATGAGAGCACAACACCGAACCAAGCAAGGAGACGAAGTGGGAGTTTCAGCACAGGCCGAAGGAAAATAAAGAAGAAAAAAAAAAAAAAAGAGGAATGAAATCATCGCCCACTCTCTGTATTCCAATCATGCGGTCCCCTTCTTCCCCAACACTTTCGAAAGGCATTCATGCACCTCTCGCTTCTTATACCTTCCACTTACCCGCATTCCTCATCGCCGTCGCCATGCCACTCTTATCCGTCACAGCTGCCACAGCCGCCGTCGCTCTCCTAGTTATCAGTTCCGCAGCTATCCCATCTAACTCACTCCCCCTTCCTCTTCTGGCGCTACTCTCCCTAAAAGCGTCGCTTTTGGACCCCCTCTCTTCCCTCTCAGACTGGGCACTTCCTCTGAATCAGAACTTCTCTTTTTCCCCGCCGCCGTGGTGCTTATGGTCCGGCGTCTCTTGCGCCAGCAGTCAGGTCGTTTCCATCGACCTATCTGGCAATAACCTTTCCGGCGACCCCTTTCCTCCGGAGCTGCGCCTTCTCTCATCTTCTCTTGTTCTCCTTAACCTCTCCGCCAACTCCTTCTCTGGCCCCATTCCCTCATCCTCCTCTCTCTTTCATCTCCGCCGCCTCCGTTCTCTCGACCTCAGCCGCAACAGCTTCAACGCCTCCCTCCCATCCAGTCTCTCCTCCCTCCGCCGACTTACTTTCCTGAACCTTTACAGCAACAGCTTCTCAGGCTCCATCCCCGCAACCCTTGCCGCGCTTCCTCTCCTCGAGCATTTAAATCTCGGCGGCAGCTTCTTTTCCGACCTTATCCCCGGCGAGGCACTGGTCTCTTTGACTGGGCTCCGGTTCCTCCACCTGGCCGGTAACCTTCTCACCGGTTCCATCCCAATGTGCCTCGGCCAGCTTGCCATCCTTGAGCATCTGGAGATTGGGTACAATTCATATGAAGGAAGCCTCCCACCGGAGATTGGACGGTTGCGGAATCTTCGATACCTCGACATATCCTCGGCGAATCTTTCCGGTGAGATACCTCCGGATATTGGGAGTCTCACAGAATTGCAAACGCTGCTCCTGTTCAAAAATCGGATATCTGGCAGCGTCCCGCCAGAAATTTCTAGTCTTAGCGGACTCAAAATTCTGGACTTGTCAGACAACCGCCTCTCCGGCCGGATTCCAGCTGGTATCTCCTTGCTCGTTAATCTCACCGTTCTCAGCCTTATGAACAATGAAATTTCCGGAGAAATTCCGCCGGGAATCGGCGAGATTGCTTCGCTTGAAGCGCTCCTTCTCTGGAACAACTCCTTAACGGGCGTGCTCCCACCGAAGCTCGGCTCCGGCGGTCGGCTGGAGCGGGTCGATGTTTCGTCCAACTCCCTCTCCGGCACAATTCCTTCTAGCCTCTGTTTCGGAAACCGCCTTGTTCGGCTAATACTCTTCGCCAACTGCTTCGAATCCAATATTCCTTCTTCCCTCGCGCGCTGCTCATCATTGTGGCGCATTCGTATCGAAGATAACCACCTCACTGGCTCTATCCCCGCCGGCTTTGGGCATCTCCAAAACCTCACATTTTTTGACCTCAGTAGCAACAATATCTCTGGCGAGATACCGCCGGACCTCGGCACCGCTCCACGGTTACAATTTTTTAACATCTCCGGCAATCCCCTTCGAAGCATCCTACCGAACACGATCTGGAGGGCACCGGCTCTTCAAATATTCTCCGCAAGCTCCTGCAAACTCCAAGGAAAAATCCCCAACTTCGCCTCCGGCTGCAGCAATCTCTACAAGCTAGAACTTTCGTATAACGATCTCAACGGCACCATTCCCGCTGACATCACCGATTGCCTGAAATTGCTTTCTTTAAAACTGAATCAAAACCATCTCACCGGCTCAATTCCACCAGGGCTTCCAAATCTGCCCTCGATCACCGAAGTTCATCACCGATTGCCTGAAATTGCTTTCTTTAAAACTAAATCAAAACCGTCTCACAGGCTCAATTCCACCAGGGCTTTCAAATCTGCCCTCGATCACCGAAGTCGACCTCTCCCTCAACTTCCTGACTGGCTCGATCCCGCTGGCATTCGACAACTGCAGCACCCTTGAAAATCTCAACATCTCCTTCAACGGCCTTGCGGGTCCCATCCCAGCCTCCGTCGGCATATTCCGGAGCCTCGACCCTTCCTCATTCGCCGGAAACCCAAGCCTCTGCGGTTCACCACTCGCCCGGCCGTGCATCCCAAATGTGGAGCGACCGCCACACCAGCCAGCTGCCACTGCTGGTCCGGCTATCATCTGGATCACGACAGCAGCATTGACTACAGGATTGGTCGTCCTGATAATCGGAATTCGGTGGTTCAGATCGGCCTCCCGGCTAAAACCGCCGCCCTGGAGGTTAACAGCTTTTCAACGACTAACGTTCACGGCAGATGATGTGGTGGAAGTGGTGAAATCCACCGCCCAGATTATTGGTATAGGCTCATCCAGCACGGTATACCGTGGCGAGATGCCCAACGGTGAGGTGATTGCAATCAAGAAGCTTTCAACGGCGGCCGTCACAAAACAGAGGAATAAAACCGAGTGCATCTTACCGGAGGTGGAGCTAGTCGGTGCGGTACGACATCGCAACATAGTCCGACTACTCGGTTATGTCAGCAATGGCGAGTCTACAATGTTGTTGTATGAGTATGTGCCGTGCGGGAGCCTGGAGGAGCTTCTCCACAGCAGTGGTGGAGAAGGGAAGGGGAAGACCACACTTGACTGGGAGACTAGGTATCGTATAGCAGTTGGTGTAGCGGAAGGAATGAGTTACCTTCACCATGACAGCAGGCCGACAATTGTGCATAGGGATCTGAAGCCGAGCAACATATTGGTGGATGAGGAGATGGAGGTGAGGGTAGCGGATTTCGGATTGGCTAAGTGGTCGACAAAGACATCGTTGACGGGGATAGTGGGGTCGTGCGGTTACATAGCACCAGAGTATGCTTATGCGGTGAAGGTGGATGAGAGGAGCGATGTGTATAGCTTTGGGGTGGTGTTGATGGAGATTGTGAGTGGGAGGAGAGCGGTGGATGGCCGTGGTGGTGTTGAGGAGGGGAAGAGTCATTTAGTGGAAAGGGTGAGGAGGAAGGTGGCAGAGAAAGGATGGGAAGGAGTTGAGGAGATTTTTGATGGAGGCATAGGTATCGGGTGCAGGGAGGTGAGGGATGAGATGGTGATGGTGCTTAGAGTGGCCATGTTGTGCGCTAGTGAGAGGCCAATGGATAGGCCAAGTATGAGGGATGTGGTGTCGACGTTGAAAGCTATTAGGGTGGTTAGGAAGAAGGTGGTGGATCAAGATTAAGGTTCTGTGCTTGTTTTGTCCAAATACAGTTGACCAGGGTTGGAATAGGGGCAAGAAACTTCATTTTTTCCCTCCCTTTTTTCTCATGTCATCTTATATTTTATTTTCCAAGTTGAATGATGCTTGCTTGGTTGTTCTCTCTCTCTCTCTCTCTCTCTCTCTCTCTCTCTCTCTCTCTGGAATTTGCATGAAATTAGTAGTAAACTCACGTGCATACAAAACCTCAAACCTATATAGCCTCTTATTTAAAAGCTTAATGTCACGAACAAATAGTCCCACATTGGCTATGTGTAGGGCTGAAAAACAGTATTTAGTCCTGGGCTGCCCACTACCCATAAGAGCTCTTTTGGGAGGTGATAAGTGGTATCAGAGCAGATTACTATCTGCAAGGTGTGTGGAATCTCCATGGTCCAGTGGGACCCTCGGTGGAGCCGATCCGTGACGAGGGTGTCACGTGATTGGGTGGAGGAGAATGTCACGGACAAATAGTCCCATATTGGCTAAGTGTAGGACTGAAAAGAAGTATTTAAGTCCTGGGCTGCCCACCACCCATAAGGGCTCTTTCAAGAGGCGACATTAAGCTCATAACGAATTGATTAATGTGGGTCACATTGCCTTTTTTTTTTCTTAAATTCAAATTCGGAGAAAAGTCATTTCTCTAGGGAGATGTATGATCATCACATGATTTTAAGGGGTCGTTTGGGGCTGCAGTTTTATTGTGGTGCGGTCTGAACTGCTATTTGGGTTTGGATTCTGCGGTCGCGGGGGTCATTTGATAAGTCTAATTACAATGGGGACAACGGGTTTGACCCTGCTGCCCATGTTCCTTGGACTTTATTTTTTGTGGTTGCCCTTTTGTTTTCCTTCTACGGCTACCCTCTCGTTCCTCTGCAGCTCCCTCAACGCGACTATTGCCCTAATTTCTCTTCTCTTGATCCCCTTGGATTTGTGGCTCGGGTGGCTAAGCGTTATTTCTGGTTGCCCCTCGTTGTTTGTTCTGGTGACCTTTACATTTGTCCTTTCCTCTCTTTTTCCGCTCGATTTGATGGTTCTGTGAACTTTGTGCTATGTGTGTTGGCTCCTTTTCTTCGGTTGGTAGTTATTGTGGTGAGCTTTCTATTCTCTTTTTCCATGTCCCTTCTCTTCTTCGGCTCGGTTTGGTGGTTGTTCGCATTATGCGCTTTGTGAGGTAGTCCCTTTTCTACCTCTCCCCTCTATTCCGATTATATTTGCCTTATCTATTAGGTGACTTTATGATTCTGCAAATGCTAATGTGCAATGGTTCTCATTTTTCTAGTTGCTTTCCTCTCGCCTAATTTTTCTCTTTGCTTGATTTGGTGGTTTTTGGTTTGATATGCTTAGTTGTTGATTTTGAATGTAACTTTCATTAATTAAACTTTCATATGTTATTTTTTAACCGAAGTTAAGAGCATTGAATAAATATATCATAAAACATAAATGAAGCAGAATAAGAAAGAAAATATGAAATTAAGAAGTAGATGACATTCCCAAAAATTATGTGGCCACACTCATTTAACAATTAAGAATGTTAAGGTAGAGCCAGGTTCAAAAAAAAAAAAAGCAACTGTTCCACCTCTT